CCAGTTGTAAGGCTGAGCTGCAAGGAGATGAGGATTATGGTAATATAATTACTAATACAAGGTTGGCCAAAGTGATTGTGTATGCCAAGAAAAATGAGATGCCTCAGAATGAGTCAACACATTCATTTCCCAAACAGTTTGGCTGTGCAAGGCAGATAAAACAGTGTTTATAAGGGACTGGCTACAAGATGGTTCCTAATAGCTTTCAAATGACGTTATCTTGTTCTGCCATATCATGATAAAGCAATAAATAGACAACCAAGGTGAAGCCCTGCTGAAAACACCTACTTTGTCCCAGTAATAAAAGAGCTTAACACAAATGAAATACTAGTTGTTCCCTGTTAGATGAATTCCAAAGCTGGAAAAGTGTCAGGGCCACGAGCACCACCCCCTGCAGTGGTTTGGCTGCCTGGGTTGGAGGCCAGTGCTGACAGCAGCTCAGGTTGTGTCATGTGGGGCTGCTGGGGAAGGAACTGTGTGAAGGTGCTGGGCCCGTCCCCCTTTGCTCAGGAGCTGTGGAAAGTGCCACAAAAAGGCACTTGGGGGTCCTGGTCAATGGCAAGTTGAATATGAGCCAACAGTGCCCTGGCAGTCAGGAGGGCCAGCCGTGTCCTCCTGGGACAGCAGGCACAGGCTGGGTGAGGGAGGGGATTGTTCTGCTCTGCACTGCCCTGGGGTGGCCTCACCTCAGTATTGGGGCAGTTTGGGGCACCACAATATAAGAAAGACATGAGGCCATTAGAGAGTGTCCAAAGGAGGCAACGAAGATGGGGAAGGGCCTTGATTTGAAGCCCTGTGAGGACACTGAGGGCACTTGGTGTGTTCAGCTGGAGGAGACTGAGGGGAGACCTCCCTGCAGTTCCAACTGCCTGGGGAGGGGCAGAGGAGGGGCAGGGACTGAGCTCTGCTCTGGGGGGACCAGGGACAGCAGCCAGGGAATGGCTGGAGCTGTGTCAGGGTAGGGTCTCAGGAAAAGGTTCTTCCCCCAGAGGGTGGTTGGGCACTGACCAGGCTCCCCAGGGCAGTGGGCACAGCCCCAAGGCTGCCAGAGCTCCAGGAGGGTTTGGACAAGGCTCTCAGGGACAGGGTGGGATTGTTGGGGTGTCCTGGGCAGGGCCAGGAGTTGGACTCAATGATCCTGATGGGTCCCTTCCAACTCAGCATATTCTATGATTCTGCATTTCAGCTGAGACATTTCCCTTGGTCCTTGTCAAGCTACATTGCAGCTCTGCCTCTGCCTGGCACCTCACTCACCTGAACTGACCCTTCTTTGACTGGCTTCATCCCTACAGACACCCTGGGGCATCCCTGCACTGGCTGACCACATGTCCTGTCCCTGGACCCACTCCTGTCCCCAGGTTGGCTTTCTGGCATTGATCTTGGACCTACCTCATGCCCACAGACTTCCCAACTGGCCACCCTCAAACGGAGCTGCTCTGCTCCTCATTTGGGGACTGTGGGACAGCACTCCTTGCTGGTGAGATCCCTGCCCTGCCTGCCCTGCTCTCACCTGCAGTTCCTGCTTTGTCTTCTCTAAAGGCAGGACAGGGTAAGAGTGGATATTAGGAGGAAATTAATCCCTGTGAGGGTGGTGAGGCCCTGGCACAGGTTGCCCAGAGAAGCTGTGGCTGCCCCATCCCTGGAAGTGTCCAAGGCCAGGTTGGACGGGGCTTGGAGCAACCTGGGCTAGTGGAAGGTGTCCCTGCCCATGGCAGGGGGTGGAACAAGATGAGCTTTAAGGTCCCTTCCATCCCAAACTATTCTGGGATTCTATGATTCTTAGAGTAACCCACTTGTGCTGCTCCCTGACATAAATCTCAGTTATGAGCCTGGCAAAAGTAAAAGCTATTATCTGGATCCCACCTAATGGGAATGTAATATGGAAAACAACATCAGTACAAAGTTACTCCATCATAATAAGCAAGATGAATGAAGTGACAGATCAAACCCATTTCATTTTACATCCCCATTTAACTGGTTTACGTACTGTGCAGCTTTCCTTCTCCCTCCCTCATTAATAACACTCTGCTCAAATACTGAAACAAACCCTGGGTGTGTTACTCTAAACTATTAATTCATCCTGACCTTACAACAAGGATCACATCACCCCTCTGCTGGCTTTCACAGGGCTCTAGATGCTCACATCAGCTCTGAATGAGATCCAAAGATCCAAATGTGGGAACTGAAATAGGTCCAAAGATTCAAATGTGGTCAAGGGGCCCAGTTTCAGAAGAGATCAACTCATGCCAGTCTTAAATTTCACTGAAAGTTTGCCTGGTGAAGGGGAGCAGAAAAAAACAAAACCATTAAAAAATACAGGTTCTTCCACGCATTATTTTTAAAACAAAGAGGTGGACAGATGGCAAAAGTATTGACACCTAAAGACACAGATGTGACAGGCAGAATTCTTAGAATGAATCCAATGATTTCCCAGGAAACTTGGTACCTGCATAACCTGAAAATCCACTGGATCTCAGCCCCTTCCTCAGAAGCTGAAGTGGTCCTGGAAGTTAGTTCTCAGTCTCCCAAGTTACCTGCACTGTTTGGAAAGTGTTATCCCCAACCCTGACTCTCAAAGTGAAGCTGAGGACAGAGTCTGACTGAACTAGGTTAAGAAAAAAAACAGAGCACATTAAATCTGAGTTTCCCTGCTTTTATATTTTAGACAAGAACTCTAATGTAACCCTAATGCAGCTTTTTAAATTTCCTTTCCTAGTCTTTTTCAGCATCTCAGCTACAGTAATTGCAGAGTTTCTAAACTTTCTCTCTGATTATTATTCAATTCAATAATTTATGTACATTATAAATGGTCAGAGGAATTCTGGAAACTATGACAAGTGTTCCAGATCTGAACATCTATCACTGCCAAAACAAAGGACTTACAAAACAAATTTGAAAGTGTGCTACTCTGTCAAATACTGGGGCTTGTTCTTTGAATATACATGTTTATATATAGATATTAGATATTTTCACTGAGACATAGCTGCCAAATTATAGCTTCTTTAGTTTTAAATGTCAAAACATTCAAGTTTTTCTATGTTCAGAAAAAAAGAAAGAAAACCCTGTTCTAATAATAAAAAAAAAAGCTGCTATCAAGGGGGATTTCAAGTGACCTTACAAAGGACTGTTATATTTGATACATGATGTTGACACATTTTTCATTCTTAATTTTACTAATGAATATTCCTAAAGAATAACTAAGAACAAAGTTGTCCACAGAACAGTTATTCCAGGTTGTGCTGGCTTGTTTTGCCCAGCAGTGCCTCGGGAGGTCAGGCAGGCTTCCCCCAGGCAGGCTGGCAGTTAGTTTAGAGTCATGGAGTGGTTTGGGTTGGAAGGGACCTTAGAAGTCTTGTCCCACTCCCTGCCATGGGCAGGGACACCTTCCACTAGCCCAGGTGGCTCCAAGCCCCATCCAACCTGGCCTTGGACACTTCCAGGGATGGGGCAGCCACAGCTTCTCTGGGCAACCTGTGCCAGGGCCTCCCCACCCTCACAGGGGAGAATTTCTTCCCAATATCCCATCTAACCCTGCCCTCTGGCAGTTTAAAACCACTGCATCTTGTCCTGTCACCCTCTGTCTGTATAGAAGTCCCTCTCTCTCCCTTTAGGTGCTGACAGCAGCTTCCATGGGCAGCAGAAGGCTGTAAACCCTGGGCAGCAATGCCCACGTCCTACTGCCATGACCGGCTGGCAGGAGCATCACCAAACCTATCAGGGGCATATTTACACTGCAATTCAGCTACAGCAGAGACACACCCTGAGCTGCACTCCAGAGAAACCCCATTACCAAGCTGTTATCTCCATTTTATTGGCTTCAGCACAGCAAATATGGGAAATGACCACGATACAGAATAATTCCGCATTGCTTGGTGCATTGTCAGGAATGAGAGAGCAAGGCTCAAGTAGATTCCTGATGAGCAAGTGAGTGTCTGCATCTTAATAAGGGCTAACTGGAACTGGGTAGGACCTGACAGCAGCAAGAGGCTGAAGGATCCACAACCTTACACCCCCAAAACAGAGCTCTGGGCAGTGTCCTGACCTTGTCAAAGCAGGCTGGCGGAGGGAAAGTCAGCTGGCAGTTTGTTAGTCCTTTACTCCTCATTGGTGATTAATCCAGTGTTAAATAAAATGAGCTTTCAAATCTGCAGAAGCACAGTAGTCAAGTTACAAAACAAACCTGAACAGTCCAGTCTCCCAGTTTAGGGTTGTAAGGTCTTTCAATTTTTTTGTACTGACAGAAGAGCTTTGTTATCACTATTAGCTCAAACAAATCAATACAGATAAATTCTGGAGTTTCTCATCTCCTCTGACCTTCTCAGCTGGCCCTGTGTTCAGTGAAGTCAGGGAAAGGATGAAGTAGGACTGCATATCACAGCATCATGGAATGCTTGGGTTGGAAGGGACCTTAAAGACCATCTCATTCCAACAAGACATATGCAAACCTTCTCAGGAGGAAAACCAGCCCTGTCCTCCAAGCCTTACTTCAGGCTTTGGGAAAAATCAGGATAATTTCATACTCCCTTAAACAGGAGCAAAATCTATTATTAAATTCACAGTCCTCAAAACCTACCCACTAAATTGACCTATAAAGCTGCTGGGGGCAGACAACCAGACAGGACTCAGCATAAGCTTTGCTTTAGGAGTATGACAGTAAAAATGTTTCACATTTTAGAAAAAGTTATGAAAAATCATGTGGGAGAGCCTGGTTCCCATGAAGTAGATGACACTGAGCACACTGATTTCAGCAAGCTGGGCTCCTGCCATACCGTGACAGGTTAAAACTCGTGGGCAGCTGCATGGGGAGCACTCCCTGCACAGGAAAGTGGGAAAAAATACAATTAGTGTGAGAGAAGAGCTGTGGAACTGCTCATCTCATCAGGTAATGGTGCTCCATAACAAACAGATTTTAAATAATGCAACGACAATTACTTTTTGCTCTAGGATCACACTTGCCCGTAGCCAGGAAGCCACTGTGAAAGGCACAGGCAGCCACTGACCATGTGGAACAGAACAGGGGTGTTCTCTGCCATGGGCTGCTTCCCAGACACTGACTGCTGAGGCTGCAATCCCTCCAGCTGCTCCTGGAATCTGAGTCTCCTCTGTCTCTCTTTCATCTGCTCTTCTTTTTGGGATAGCTCTCTTTCACTTTCTTGTGTCCTGAAAAATACAGAGATTCTGCTTTGCTTAAGCTTTTCACTTGGGAGAAAAAGCCACTTGTTCATCTGTTTGCATTTCTTTTTTTTTTCCTTGTATTTATACCACACACTCGAGAGTGAAACATGACATGAAAGGCTAAAATAGATTTAGAAAGATTTTTAGGTGGTTGTGGGGGGCCACAAGAACTTGTCATTGGATGAAATCATCTCCCTGAGAAAAACACCCAACCTCAAAGCAAAGGAGCAGAGCTCAAACCTCTGATAAGTGGTGATGATCTATTTGGAGATCAAAATTCCTTAGAGCAGAGATGTGTTTGTGATGTTTCACTCCCTATCTCCACATGAAAATTCTCAGTCTAACCCCATTTCCTTTCCTATCTGCTGTAGGATAGGACAGTGACAAGTTTCCCTGACCCAAGACTTTCCATCTTTCTACATTTTGATTTGCAGGAAGATTTCCTCTGCCATGGAGTTCAATTTCTTCTGAATTCTTCCAGCCCCAGGTGCCCCAAAAATAATGAGAATAGCAAGAAATAAAACTGAAATCAGTTAAAATCGTTGTGAGCTTGGACAATAACGAACCCAGATCCTTGCCTAGCTGTGGGTTCCCATCTCTGTGGCAGGTTAACAGGTAGCCAAAATGGAGTTTTATATTCCTGATGGAAGCAATGAGCTTTAATGTCAGGAATTCCATAGAGGAAAAAACCCTGCAACCAACCATCTGCCATTTAAAGCAAGTCCACAGGAGCTGAGGTGTTTAAGTGGCAGGGCCAGAAACTGTTTAACTCTGAAACAGTCCCAGTCTCCAGAGCAGGCACATCCTCATTCTTTCCAGGGCTCATATGTCAAAGTCATTTCAGTCTGAAAATAGCAGGCAGAATATAACCTTTGAAAAGCCAGTATAATGGAGCTCTCCCAAACAGCTGGGCAGGTGCACAAGGCAACCACCTGATTTCACTTTAAAATTAGACCTTCTGCAGAATACACAACATTAAACTAAGCCCAAGGAGGCAGAGGCCCAAATAACTCTGCTATTTCCTCAACTGAGATCACTCTTATTTCTACTTTTTAAAGCTTTTCAAGGTATTCCTTTGGTGTTCCTCATGGGTGTACTTTGTCCCTCCAAGGTCTTGCATTTTCCTTGATGGCAAAGCGTCAGAATTCCTTTGTTTGGAAGAAAATGTTACAAGGGGAGGCTGATACATCTTCCAGTTTGTAAAAGGTGTTTGACATTGAGAAACAGAAATAAACCATTTCCCATTCCTTCCAGGAACACAAAAAAAAAGCTTGAATTGGAGAGAGGATAATTTAAGGAAAACCTTTACAACTGTAAAGATAATTAAGTAGCAAAATGTAGTACCTGGGAGTCAAGGAATCCTCACCATTGAGGATTTCAAGACCAAGTTATATAAAGATCTGCCAGGAAAGGATTAGATTTTACCTCACTCTGTATTGGTAAAGGGAGACTGACCCTTCCAGACCTATTTTCTAGGATGCTGTGCTTATGAAACCTCAGTGCTGTTGTTCATAAAGGAAACCAATATTGTTATCCTCCTCTTCTACTGAATAAAAGCTAAAGAAAAAGGCTAAATTTACAATGTCAGAAGTGCCATAGCACAACTAATCCCAGGCCACTTCACTGATCCACTCAGGCTTCCTCTAAACCTTTCAGCAGGAGCTGCCAGGACTGTTATTTTTCAGGTAACAACACCAGACACCCTTTTGCTCCAGCTCACAGACCAGGTAAGTGATGTTCTTTAATCTTGGACAATTAGACAACAACCAAAACCACTGATGACTTTTCTTGTGGGATACCTTGGCAATTCTGTTGTAGTCAGAGGACACTCTGGAGCATTTCCTGAATTCTGAACCTTCTCAGCTTCCATTTTGTTTCCTTTTTCTATGTCAGCTTCATTGTCCCCACAGCTTGACAAAGGGGGACTTTTCTCCTCTGGTTCCAATCTCATTAGTTTCCTGGGAACCACCTCATTTGTCTCTTGCCTCACTTTACAATATTGGGTTTGACTTATATTAGAGGAACCTCTGTCTTCCAGGCTTTCTGGATCCAGTTTTTCAGTTGGAGTAGATGCTTTACAAAGAAGCTCTGAGGTCTCCTTCTGAGCTGCTCGGAGTTGTTGCAGTAACTGGCATTTCCCTGAGCAATTTCTCCTATAAAAGGAAATAAAAAACTCATTTAATGCAAGACAAAGCATTATATGAATAAATTCAATCTCTGAGGAACTTCTCATATGAGTAACAGCTACAAAACAAGGGCTGGGCATCTACAGGAATGATAACTGTTGGTAATAGCAGCAACAGCACTCAGGTGACACAAAACACCACAGAGACAGAACACAGAATTTATCTTAATGGCAATTTATTTAACTCTTCTGCATTTCAGGCACAACACACACCTACTAAAAGAGCCCTCAACAAATGTATCGTTGGCATGGAAATCAGAGCCTACAGATTTCTGTCCCCTTTGGATACAGGGGTTGGGATTCAAATACATACAGAAGAAAAGTTTTTTCTAGTAATTGTTAGAATTTTTGAGCATTTGGCTCAACCAATGTCTCCTCCAAGTTAATGAGACTGCTAAACTGTCAGCAATTCCATTACTGTGATATATTCTGTTGTGGAAAGTCTGGTCATGACATAGTGGGCAGAAATGGTGATTTTGCAGTTCTGTTCCCAAGACACCTGCTAAAATCAATTTATACCTCATCTGGTGATTATGAGCAAATAAAACACCTTATTTTAGTTGTACCTGAAGAGTACACAGCCTGAGCAGCCATTGGTTTGGGTTGGACAGTGATGCTGTAGGTTGGGGGTGTGTATGAGCACTCAGCATCGGAGGTATATTGTACTACAGAATATATAGAATATATATTTAATAATATATTTAATTCCATCTAGAGAAGAGTGAAAATGGCATTGACCCCTTGTGAATGAAATCAGAACCTTGCCCTGCTGAGACCAAGAGGATTTCTTTACTTACAAACAGAACTAAGCAATATTTGCCAGGCATTTCAGTTGTGTGTGTTCTTTAGCAACATTAAAGCAAATCAAAATCCAAACAGCCAAGCTCTGCTCTCCATCACTCGATTTACACTGATGCAACTGCTGAATCTCAGTCAGTGCCAGGGAGAGTTCCCCAAGCATCACCTTGTCCCTGCCTTTTGGATTTTGGATTAGATGTCCTAAATGATATTGTTCAGGCTCTGCTCCTTGTCAAATAATTTCTTCTTTCAAACCATTAGGAAAAAAGTATAATTGGCTGGCACAACAATACATGTGTTCTGCTGGTCCTCTGCACTGCTGTGAACTTACATGCAGCAGACTTTGAAATGAATCCACAACATAAATGCAAATTATTAAGGTTTGACATCTCTGCTTCACGTTAAACAAATGTCTCATAACTTATGGGTATGAATCAAACCCCGAGTTTAGTAACAGGAAAAGGCTGACATCTGTGCCTATTGAGGAATTTACAGTTTAGGATTCCATCCATCACACTCTTTCCCCTTCCCCCTCCAATTAAGGAGAACTGGGAGCATCCCTGCCCACACACTGTATTCAACATCCTCTTTTAATTTCTAACTATTCTAGCCTGGTTTATTTTTTTAAAAAAAATAAAGGTTTGTCTGAGTCAACTCCCTACAACATTTTCAAAGACTGACTGTGAGTCACTTAAAGGACAGTTCTTGTGTCACTCAAACAGGTCTGGAGAAAGAGTCCCATTTCCCAGCCACCCAGGGCTCCTCCAGTTGAGTTTTGACTTGTTCCCATGCATGTACAGGTGCAAGTGCTGCACTGCCTCAAGGATCAACAACTGTTTTCTACCTTTGGTACCTTTACCATGCAACAGAAAAAGAGATTTCCTGGGGCCAGACAAACACTTTCATTACTGGGCTTTTTTGCTGTGAAGACCAGAAATGGAGATATTTCAGTACACAAGCTTTCACTCGAATCACTGTTAGGGCAATTATTTTAGTTCCAGAAAGAATGAACATCCTATCACTTGAACTGGGGTCATGGCAAAGAATCTTACATTCTGTTTTCTGCTCCATCCTTAATTGTCACAGTCTCTTCTTCTTCTTCGGTGGAGCTGTCACTTGAACTTCTAAAACAAATCAGACCACATGAGTTAACTCTGTTCCAAATGGGTGTTGGCTCCTCATCAATTATATTGAATATATATATGAAATATATATATAATACAAATTTAGAAAATTAGAAAAAGGGAGAGACTTTCAGAGAAGAACTCCAGGTGTTGTGGATAGTTCTTCACACTATTACTCTAGCAAAAAAATTAAAATATTCAAGCAACCAGATCAAAATGTGTTACCTCTTTATTATCTACTAGCTGTTTATTAATTACAAGGTTTCTTTTGATGACAGAGTGTGGAAGAAAAGACCAGTTTTAAAGTTACATTTCACAACCATGCAACGCAGAGAGGAGGTTTCAGTTTCCCACTTTCTGTTACTTATTTCTCACTACCAATAAAGTGGTATAAATCCAGGCTTTACCTTTGTTCTTCTTCAGGGAATGTCACTGAGTTCTGTGGTTCATCATCTCTTAAGTCTATGTACACAGTTGAAGGCTCTGGCGGGCTCTGTAGTATAATGTTCCTTCTCAGAGAACTTAGTGAGGATGATGGCAAGGCAACATCCCTGCATATAGAAAACACCATTTCAGCATGTCCTCTGCCTTATCCAGACAAGAAGTCCTGCAGAGTTTGGATTAGGATCAAAACTGGGTTGAGAAAAGAGCTTTGTGCTTGGCTACCATACAGATTCCAACTCTACTTCTGTCTACTACCCACCACCTTTCAAAGCTTAATTCAAAGATTCAGCTTCCCCCAGGCATACAGATCACAGGCAGGATGATGAGGGATATTTAGTTCTCAAAATCTGACAACATCAAATAGTTCTGTAGAACAAAGGCAGGCAGTTATGGCACCAATTAGCTGTGTCAACATGTAAGAACAGGTCTCCCTTTTCCTCTCAGCCACTTTTGGCAGTTCTGTTTTATCCTTCAGAGCACACAAAGTGCAAATCATCTTCATGGCTCTCTCTGCTCTGGCAATGAGGATACTTCCTACCTTCCACTCCACAGGCTTTTTCACTATTGTTTCCTCTGTGCCTACACCATTGATGTTCCCTCTGAACAGCCTGAAAATCCACTTCTTTCACACAGAACCCTCCATGATGCCCTGACATCTCCACTAATACCCACAAAAAATCACCCTGTATATTTTACCTAAATTGAAGTACCAATAAAAAGAAATTGGTACCTTGGAAGACAAAAAAATGTGGAGGATGATAATTAGCTCAGCCTCGTTTTCCTGCCCTTCCCGTTTGTCTCAGGTAAGGCCTAGACAAAGGTGGTGGTTGCTGGATAATGCTGAGGTGTTTATCATCAAATGTATAGGATGACTAAGTCTTAATTTTTCCCATTAAGATCCCTGTAGCATATTGCAACCATGGAATCAGCTTTCTGCAGTGCACCTCCAGAAGACAGGGAGTTCCCAGTACCCCTATGGGCAGCCAGGATTACCTGGGATATGTGACAGAAAAGGACCTACTTATTGTCCTGCTCTTCTGGAAAGAAGTAGGGCTTGTCTGACAGCCACCTGCAGACAGGAGACACAGTCCTGGACTGCCTGGCACACAGCTCTTCCAGCTCTTTCAGGAGCTCACAGTTCCTCCAGAAGGTCTCTATGGAAGAGCAACAAAAGGAATCACCAGGTGTGGTCTCCTACCATGGGATCACCCAATACACCCATTCCTCATTTCCACATTGTCCCTTTTCCTACAGCCTGTCAGAAGGGGAAGGATAAAGATATTATTGGCATCTGGCTCTGACTCCCTTCAAATCTTCATCCAGCTTGCCTGATCCACTCTTAGGCCACAGCAGGCCACGAAGCACTGGCTTCAGACTAAGAAAACCAGATGAAATCTTGAGGGAAGCTAATTAAACATGTTTTAGAGGGATTAAAAACCCCCACTATGATTTCAACATTCAAAATCATGCTGCAGGTAATGACTTAAACACAGGAACCTGAGTTTTATTTATTTTTGTACACTTTCAGCAAAGTTGGTATTAATTGAGTAATATTACCATAATCTGCTGAGAAGAAAGCAACTTCTGCATGAGTGTTATCTCTCTGCTGCTCCAGCTCCCCAAGATTCTTGTCTAGATCCCATTTCTCAATATTCTGAAAGAAGACAATAGAAACATGATGGAAAGTTCACTCCCAAAAGACCATCCCTAACTCCACTGCCAGCTTGCTTTCAGCAGCTCCACAAGGAACTTCTGGAAGGAAAGGAATGATTTATTATATCCCTTTGGACAGTGCATCTCTCCAGCTGCTTCATCTGCTTCTGCTGAGGTTTTTTCACTGACAATCACGAACCCTTTTGAAATAGATTACAAAAAAACCCTGGAAACAGGGAAAGAGATTAAAAAAAGGTCTGATTCAAGACCAGGCACATGTATTCTGATCCTGAATAATGCTGAGAACTTCTCACTGCTGCTCATAAGAGAAGGAATTCTGGCTTTTCCATTCTTTGAGATAAGGCTCTGAGCCTTTTCCTCCCTCTCCAACTTCTGACCAGGGTAAATTCCCATTCCTCTAGGTACAGTCAGCAATCTTGGGTACAGATGCAATCTCCCAGCTGCTTATTCCACAGTGAATATAGGATCATCCATTTCATTGCTAGGAGCCCCACATGCCTGGCTGAGGGCACACTCACACTGCTAACTCAGGTATGGGAACCAGGCTGCCATGACAAATCCACATGCATTTAAAACACTGACTGCTTTCCCCTCTGAACAGCAGTTGAAATGGAAAGTTTAATTAAAAATATTCACATCCATCTGAAATATCATCACCAGAACTTAGAAGTACTCATGAGTTTTATTAAAAGGAAGGGGGCTGTCAATTGTGACAACGATGTCACAACTACAGCAAACATGCATTTCTCACAACCACTCCCAGGTTTTAGAAAGCAGAAGCAGATTCCAAACCCAGCAGTTTCACCTTGTAAAACCTCTGTCATCTGCCCCTCTTGTTTCAGAGAAGATTCTCTGTCCTTCCTGAGCAATAAATCTTCACACACACCTGAACCCTGACTAGTTCTATTCTAAGATTACACACTACAACTGATGAAAGATAAAAGCCTGATGAGAGTCACAAGTTGAAGTCTCTCACCAACACAAAGCTAATACTGGTTCAACAATGCCATTATTTATTGGTCTGGAACAGCCAGAAAGGACTGACAACTGAGAACTACATCACAGGTTCTGTTTTATCAAAAAGCCCAAAGAGAAAGACAATATATACATTTATTTTATTATGATGCAGTCAGAACTAAGCTTCTCTTTCAATAATAGTGCTGAAGTACAAACCATTATAATAACAAAGATCAAAATATCATCTAACCTGCTTTATTAAAGCTTTAGACTCCTAAGTCTTACCAGGAACAGCACTCTTGGAAGGTACTGGACAGGGTCCAGAAGAAAAGAATTTAGGATTTGCACAATTCCATTTCTAACACAGAAAGGAATTTAAGGAAAAAATCAAATTAACTGATATGAATCAAAAAGAAACTGTATATAAGTTTTAACAACTTGACATAAATGAAGTACCTTGCTGAGCTGGCAAGTAACAACCACCTTCCAAATCAAAGTGAGAACACACTGAGCCTGGTCTCAGTACCCAACCAAAACCATCAGCTAATTGAAGTCACTGATATCAAACAGGTTATGAAAGGCAAATCATGCCTCCTGAATTAATACAGCAACTGATTTACATGAGGTGAAATGGGAATTAAACCCAGAACCACCTGAAAAAGATCCCCTCCAGTGATGCAACACAATTTAACACACAGGCAAGCAGCTGCATTCTTTGCCTGTACTGGAACAGCTCTAACATTAAAAAGTATATTTGTGAATGTAGATGAAAGGGAAAGGAAATATCTGTACTCTGACCTATGGAAGGCTTTGAACAGAAATATCAGGTTATGCTCTGTGCTGATTAAGTCCTAATGAACTAAAAAATCAATAAAGGAAGACCTGTAACTACAGTACTGAAGAGAACCATCTCTCCACGCTGGGCCACATCCCACAGAACTAAGGACCTGCCTTAGGTGGAAGAGATTTAGGACTTCAGGAACAATCCTAACCACCTTCTCTTCTCACCTCCAGCACTACAGGAAAGACCAGACACTGGAAGGCCTGAAAGCTCCCTCTTTTAGTGCCAAGTCTGCCTGGAATCAGAAGAGTTTCCTGCACTTCCAGAGACAGACTCTGTGGTTGGCTCTCCTGAAGTTCCAGGAGCCATATTGCTGATCCACTGGGTTTGCCACCAGTATGGACTTGTAATGACAGCTCTGAGACAGCTTTTGGTAGCTTACAGAACACACACTCTCTGTGCAGAAGTTGGCACTTCAGTTCCTTGCTTTAGTGGGACTCTGCAATGCACTGTGCCCCCACCCCACAAAGTTTGTTCTTGGGGCCACTCACCTGCAATGACAAACGGGTCACTCCTCCAAGATGCTCAACTGAGGTCTCTCCCTTTGCAATTCTTTCTAGACTGTTGTTGATGCCACAGGGGGGAGGTTTGACATCCTGCTCTGGGTGGCCTGGGGATGGCTCCAGAATGGTTTTGGAGAGTATCTTTGTCTCTATCAGCTTTTTTCTCTCTTTTTTACTGTACAGCTCTTGCACAGACAATGCTGTTTTAAGCCAAGGCTTCCCTGTTTCCCTGGCCTGTCTCCTGCCCAGTTCTTTCTCTTCAAGGTGATCTGTGGAATCTGCAAGAGACTCTTCAAGAACAGCTCCCTTTTGGTTTGGCATTTCTTCAGTCTGGCTGGCAAGATTGCAAGTCTCATCTTTAATCATTTGTACATCTTCTTTTGCAATGATTTGGGTACCATCTGTTTCTTCCTGAAAGCCAAAACTTTCCAGGTCTCCGTTCCAGATTTCCCATGGTTGTCTTTCTGTTTCCTGGATTTGCTATAGGTAGGAAAAGCACACATGTGCAGAAAGTGATATCTCCCTGAGCTTTAGAAGCAGATAATAAACCAAAACAAAGTGATTGGAAGACAACAGCTCCAACTTAGACACCATATGGAAACAACCCACACCACATCCATCATGGAAAACAGTAAGACTGTTTACTTGCCAGAAACTTTAATTTCAGGAAGTGCTAAACATCCTTGAAATTTCTTTTCCTTACACGTGCTCATTATAGGACATCTCTCACACCAGGATAAACAACAGGGGAAAAGCAGCACACTGTTAGTCTTCCCATGATGGAACAGCAGGGTCAGCTGGCTCCTCTTCCAGCTTCTCATGATGGTTCATCTTCCAGGGATGGGATGCCCCATCCCTGGAAGTGTTCAAGGCCAGTTGGATGGGGCTTGGAGGAACCTGGTCTAGTGAAAAGTGTCCCCACCCATGGCAAGGGGGGTCAGAACAAGATGAGCTTTAATTCCCTTCCAACCCAAACCATTCTGGGACTCCATGAACTCATCACTACAGAAGCAAAGTAATTATTTTCTCCCAGAAAAGCTGTTCAAGGAGTAAACTTCATACTTGCCCCCCTTTCTGCACTGTCCTAAGTAATTCTTCATTTTCTAGACACATAAAATAGTAGCTGAAACAATTTAAAACCCTGAAAAATTCAGGCATCAATCCACAGGGTTAGTGTGCACTGCTAGTACACAGGAAAAACAAACAGTAAAAGGACAATAAAAGCTGCCAGGAGATAGGACAAAAAAGTTCTAAAATCTCAAGAACAGAGAAAACTTTAAAGTCACTGTATAAAGAGAAAGAAAGATCTAGTTTCTAGTGGGAGAAAGTGCTGGGGACTAAGCTTTTCCATCACACAGTTCAGTCAAATAGGTCCAACACCAGCAGATGCCCACACTGGACACAGCCAGAAGAGAGGGGTGACAGCAGTACAGCCCCCAACAACAGTCACAACCTGCACGTTGGAGTCTTCCAGGGAAAACATCATCAGTTCTTCTGAAAAGTCAGGAATTAAATTCGGCAGTTCCCGCTGGAAGATGAAAAGTTCCTCATCACTGTCACAATCAGACTGAAAACAATAAAAAAAAAGAGAAGTTAAACAGGTGACTGTAATACTTGCCTGAATATCTGGTTTGCAATGACAGCTCCCATCTTGTCCCCCCTCGAAGTGCAGAGCCAAGAAGTTTCTTTGCAGTCACACTGGACAGTCCAGTAGCCCAACAGTCACCAACCCAGGCTGTCTCACAGCCACCCAACATTTGAGCAAGCTACAATTGTAAAAACCACGTAAAACACAGCATTTCCATGGAGGTTGATGACAAACAGCCCGCTGAGCAGAGCAATGAAAAGGGTGGGAAGTTCTCTAACTCCCCAGAGATTCTATGCACTACCTCACTCACCATCAGTGGCAAGAGCAGAGCTGCTCACTATTTACAAGGGCCTGGAGTGACAGAACAAGGGGGAATGGCTTCCCATGGCCACAAGAAAGGGCTGGATGGGATATTGGAAAGAAATTCTTCCCTGTGAGGGTGGTGAGGCCCTGGCACAGGTTGCCCAGAGAAGCTGTGGCTGCCCCATCCCTGGAAGTGTCCAAGGCCAGGTTGGACAGGGCTTGGAGCAACCTAGTGGAAAGTTTCCAACCCTCATGGCAGGGGTTTGGAAAGACATGAGCTTTAAGGTCCCTCCAACCCAAATCATTCTGGGATTCTGGGATTCTAAGGGAAGGGGAGCTCATGACTGGAAAGGCAAGGCCCCACCAGGCCAAGCCCAGTTTCACAGTACCCAAGAGGAACAAGCAGGACAGACCAGGGGTAGCAACGAGGCTGAGTAAAAAAATCTACATCATAAGGCAATATTGTGGTGATGAGGCAGGTCAGAGATAAAGCCTGAAAGTTAATTCACAGATGAAAGTCCAGCTCAACCAGAAACCAGCACTTCTCCAACACAACTCAGAGAAACAATGAAGGCCCCAAGCAGAGCTGCTGGACATGTGGGTGAGAGCCCCAGCTGAGGATGGGCAGGGCCATGAAGGCTTTTTATTGCAACCAGGACCCTGATATCCACTCTTCAGAATGCAAACAGCATCTGTGGTTGGTAGGTCAGCATTTAAACAGCTTTGAAAATCCCTTTTCTAAACAGAAGATATGCATTGGAGATGAATACTTATGCATGGACACCAAGAGGAGATTAAGCACCTCCTCAGCAGTCAGGACACAGCTTTCCTGCTTGTCCCTCTGTTTTGCAAGTGTGCATTTTTGGGAATTCACTGCAGAGCATTCTTTCTGGTATCATTAACTTTCCTTAACAGAAGAAAACTCCAACAGAACACCTTTCCTCTTAATAAATTGCATATCAGGGTAATGAAGGTACTTCAGGGCATAAAACACATTTGTCAGTGCCATTTTCAGAGGCAGGAGCAGAGCACATTCAGGTCACAGATCTCGGATGCATAAATGGATCTTCAGGCACGTGGGAATTGCTCAGACAAAGGTGCAACACTGGAATTGCAGGTTCAGCAGGACAGGGATTATACAACCACATCTTCTGAATGCAAATGAAGTGCCAAATAGATTGTCTCAGTTCCTTCAGCAGGAATTTTTAAATAGAAACAGAGAAATTGGAGATTGTTGGTAAGTAAAAAGAAAAGGTTCAGTGTGATTTAGAGTGACACAATGGTATTTGGCACCAAAGTGTGGAGCTTTTCCTCCTTCTTGACCTTATTGTACACTTACACAACAAGAAAGCCTACAAATAATTCCAGTGTTGGGCCTGAATCTAGACTATACAGACACATTAAAATGCAATGATTGGTTTAAATAGGTAGAGGGGAACTGAGATACTGTGAGGCAAAATGGTTTGCCCACCACAGTAGTGACAGATCCAGGTGCAGAAATCAAGTCATGGTATCTCTATCAACACTCTATCCACTAGATCACAGTGCTTCAGATCACTGATAATAAAAAGTGATAAATAGCCCTTGGAGGCATTTCCTTCCCTGCCCACAAGACTCCCCTTGTACCATTAATGGCCACAATAAGATGGAATAAAATATATCCTTTGTGTGTTCAAAATTATTTTTTCAAGTTTATACATGCTTTAAAATTAACAAAATATTTTTATTTGGACAAGAGGCCACCAATAATAGAGTCTTGAAACACATTATCCCCTCAGGAAAGTCAGTGCCAGAGCATCTTGGACTAGAGTGGAAGGCACTTTTTTATTTGCACCAGACTCTCTGCATATGAACAGAGATCTTGAGCAGCCAAGAGCAAGCTGACCCAGCCCCAGCAAGTGAAAAACGTATCACAGTGAAGAATTCTGCACAATGTCTCTCAGTCTCATTCTTTGCACATAAAACTGAAGCACAAAAAGGCAAAAGGGCTTGTGGAGAATTACAGACAGTAAAAATAAGCAGAATGTAGGATTGAAAGATCTGCCAAATGCTTTTTTCCAGTGGATCACCAAGTCTTCAGGACTATCACTTTCCTGTGATCCTCATAGATAGAAAATCATACCAACATTGCCTACTGTTTGCAAGCACATTGTTGGAATGATAAGCATTCATTCCAAGCATAAAACATTATCACTTCACTGTAAATCAGCAGGATGCTGCTTTCATACCAAATTTTTGACTAAACAAACTAAGAAGAAATGTGGGTTCATTCTGTAAGATGCCCTCTACTCTCCTCTTCCCTGGAAATACTTCTTGTCTGGAGAATCACAGAATTGTTTGGGTTGGAAGGACCTTAAAGATCATCTCATTCCACCCCCAGCCATGGGCAGGGACACCTCCCACTAGCCCAGGTTGCTCCAAGCCCCGTCCAACCTGGCCTTGGACACTTCCAGGGATGGGGCAGCCACAGCTTCTCTGGCCACCCTCACAGGGAAAAATTCCTTTCCAATATCCCATCTAATCCTTCCCTCTGGCAGTGGGAACCCATTCCCTCTTGTCCTGTCCCTCCAGGCCCTTGTCCAAAGTCCCTCTCCAGCTGTCTTGGAGCCTCTTTAGGCACTGGAAGGGGCTCTCAGGTCTCCCTAGAGCCTCTTCTTCTCCAGGCTGAACAATCCCAACTCTCTCAGCCTTTCCTCACAGCAGAGCTGCTCCAGCCCTCTGATCATCTTGGTGACCTCCTCTGGACTCTCTCCCACAGGTCCATGTCCTTCCTCTGCTGGGAACCCTGGAGCTGGAGGCAGCACTGCAGGTGGGGTCTCACCTGAGCAGAGGGGCAGGTTCCAAAGAATACAGGGAGAGGAGATGGCAATGACTCTCTGACAACTGAGGATAATCCAAAAGGCCCTGGATTAATGCACAGTGTTACACAGCCAGGACAGGCAGCCCATTCAGAATAGCACCCCAGCCACTCTGAAACGCCTGCCTAAGGTCACCTGCTCTTGCCTTTGAGAGATTTTTCTGAGGCAGTGTGAAGAAAGGCAGGTTTCAGTGCTTACTGTGGAGGACTCGGAGTCCAGAGATGGGAGCTGGTCTTTCACTGCAGCGAGTATGGATCCCCACTGGAATGGTCTCTCACTCTGCATAGGAGCTGCAGGAGGCTCAGCTGGATGTTCTGCATCCTCACTTTGCCCTTCTGAGGCCATTGGAACAGCTTCCCTTCAAACAAATGAAAGATAAGCTTAAGGATACGTCACCAAAGAACGAGGGGTGACATCAGTACAACACAAGAGCACAGCACGTGCAGTAAGGGCAGTGGAATTCTCAGCACTCCCAGGGGTTTCACTGTCAGCAGGGAATGAGACAATCTGCATTTTTGGAGCTGTTCCTTCCCACCTGAGTTCAGAGGTTCACGAGTTTTCTGCCCTGCTTACCACACACACCCCAGAGGCAGCTGAGCCTCTCATTTACAGAGTACTTTTTGGGGTTCTTAGCCAGACTGCTGTAACTGTGTTCTCTTAAAGCATATTCACCTTAAAGCATATTCACCTTAAAGCATGTTCCCATGTTCTGCCTGCATGGAGAGGGAAGGAACACAACAAAGACAGGCTGACACCTCTGCTCTCAGCTGGATTTTCACTTGTCTTCCCTATTTCCCTACCTTTCCCCTCCTCACTGCTCAAATGACAGATAAAATGATCATAGAGTCACAGAATTCCAGCGTGGTTTGGGTTGGAAGGGACCTCAAAGCTCATCTCATTCCACCCCCTGCCATGGGCAGGGATGCCTTCCACCAGACCAAGTTGCTCCAAGTCTTGTCCAGCCTGGCCTTGAACACTGGCTTATGTTTGCTATTGTTTTCACTGGATTTTTAAACAAAAAATAGTTGAGAGTCGGCATGTTCTTGGATTTTGACCTCTCAAAGTGTTTCTAAAGTGGATTCTTTCCTTGATGTACATGAAGAGTTGAGACAACACAGAAGGGGATGTAGCTGTACTAAGAAGTCAGATAATTAATCCTCACTGAAAACCTTTACATTTTATGCTACAAGTGCATGGTTTTCTGGGCAATTAAACAGGAGAGTAAATGATTTCTTTTTGGGCAAGAGAGGTTCAGAGGTTTCATAGAATCATAGAAGACCCAGAGTCAGAAGAAACTCACAAGGATCATCAAAGGTTGTGTGTTGTTGAGGGCTGAAACTGTTCAAGTGATGTCACTATTATTTGCATTGACGTAGGCAATAAAAATCCTCAAAACATGAGGTTAAACTCAGCTTATGCCCTGGGATGTTGATAACTTGCAATTGCCTCTTATAGTCCATATTCACACAGTGGTTTTGCTGGGACAACCCCGAATTTGATTTAAGTAAGGAGAAGGAAAACTCCCGTGGCTGGAGTACAATGCTCTGACAGGAGCAAAGGATGTTAAGGAAAACAGGAGTCCCATGAGGATAAAATAAACTGCCTGGTGTGGTACTCTGCGATTATTTTGGAGGTCAGTATCCCAAAGTTATGGATGTTACACTGGATCTGACTTATCAGTCAGCTAATGCCTCATCTTCAGTGGGAGCAAGCAGTGTTTAAAACAAAGACTTGCCAGCAATAACCACAACAGTCACTTTCTGGAGAGCTTGGGCATGGAGGTATTATTAGGTCTTAGGTTGGACTTGATGATCTTCGAGGTCTTTTCCAGCCTTAACGACTCTATAATTCTAATTGAGACATAAGATCCTGAGCCTTTCCGTGTCACTAGAACTGACGTTTGCTGTCACATACATCTCGACAGCGTCGCTGGGAGGGAGCAGCTGAGAGGACACAGGCAATGGTGGGAGATAGAGCTTGGTTTCAGGGGTGCATTCAGGGGCACGGGGCCGGGGATGAGCCCCCGCAGCCCGGGCACAGCCCAGGGACGGCTCCGGGCTGAGGGCTCCCAGGGAGACCCCCCTCAGAGCCCCCCCAATGGCGGCCGCGCGGCGCACGCGCACCGTCCCCATGGCAACGCGGCTCCCGCGCCCGCGGCCCCGCTCCCTTCCCCTCACTCACGGCACCCACCGCCCCGCTCAGCCCCGGCCCGGGGCCGGGCCGCGGGCACAGCGAACCGCCGGCAGTCGGGACGAGCGGCACAGCCGAGGGGCAGCGCCAAGGGACCGCGGGGCCGCGACGGCTCCTCGCTACAACCGCCAGCCTCAACCCCCTTGGCTGCCCCTCGCCCCGCCCCTCGTCCCGCCCCTCCCATTGGCCCGGCGCCGCGGGGGCTCTCGGGTGTTGTAGTCCGCGGCGCTGGCGGGCGGGGCGCTCCCAGCATGCCTTGCGCGAGCGAGGCCAGTTCCGGCGGGGCGCTCACCGGGGCAGGTGAGGGGTCGGGTTGGTGTTGTGGGCGCAGCCCTTCGGGGTTGTCCCCGGGCGCTCTCCGGTCTCGGTGGGCCCCAGCGGTTCCGACCCGCTCGCTGAGCCGGGCGCGCGGGGCTGAGACCGCGTTCCCAGCAGGGCCTCGGGGGAGGTGCGCGATTAACGGGCCTGGGAACCGTTTGCCGGGAGACGTTCGGTAACGGCCCTGGGGCGGCCGCTTTGGCGGCTCCGGCCGCGCTGGGCCCTCCGCAGGCGCGTCGTGGAGCGAGCCCGGCACTGCCCGCGCCGAGCCCTGGCGGTGCCGTGTCCGGCTGCCTTGGCGGGCACAGCCCCTGCCGTGGGATATGTGCTCCTAATGCTGCGGCTGAAGTGCTTTTGTGCCTCTTATCTCATTTTTCTAAGATTGTATTGTGTGCTTTAACGTGCCCGAGAATGCCAGGCTCGTGGTAGAATTACTGAGGTTGGAAAAGATCTCTGAGATCATTGAGTCCAAGTTTAAAAAAATTAAGAACTTGGTGTATTTTCAACAGTAGCATTGAACCCAGGTGTGATGTGTCCAGGAACACTTTCTGTCACACCACTACTGTTTGGAACCTGATGTGGTTCCTGGATCTGTGATGTGTGTCAGCAGTGCAAAGATGAGATGTTCTGGTTCTTGTTGTTGTGGCTGAGTTGGTAACAACTCTTTGTACCTGTACAGGGAGGTAACAAGGCTTCTAACTCCCTCCAATAGGTTGTTGCTGGATTTAGGGGAGATAGAACTAAGGAGCAGAAGTGGAGCACGTTCCTGCTCTGCTCTGGTGTAGTCTCACCTCGAGTCCTGTGAGCAGTTCTGGGTGCCAAAATATCAGAAGGTTCTAAAGCTGTTGGAGAGTGTCCAAAGGAGGGACGTGAGGATGGTGAAGGGTCCGAGGAGCAGCTCAGGGCACTTGGTGTGATCAGCTGGAGAAGAGGAGACTGAGGTCAGACCTCATGGGGGTCTGCAGCTTCCTCACGAGGGGCAGTGGAGGGGCAGCTCTGATCTCTGCTCCCTGTGACCAGGGACAGCACCCAGGGAATGGCTGGAGCTGTGTCAGGGCAGGGTCAGGTTGGATCTCAGGAAAAGGTTCTTCCCCCAGAGGGTGGTTGGGCACTGACCAGGCTCCCCAGGGCAGTGGTCATGGCCCCAAGGCTGCCAAAGTTCAAGGATCCTTTGAACAACACTCTCAGGGACAGGGTGGGATCGTTGGGGTATCTCTGCACAGCCAGGGGTTGGATTTGATGCTCCTTGTGGGTCCCTTCCAGCTCATGAGATTCCATGATTCTCTGTTATCAGCTTGATGGCTCAGTTGGAAGCTCCAACAACCTCCACACTTGTGCTGTCTTGAGTGTCTCCTGTGTTTTGTGACAGAAAGACCCATGTGGGTGTCACTGTGCTTGTGGAAGGGCATATGAGAGAGGGAATTGAGCAGAGCCAGTGCAGCTGAACTGGTGAGGGGTGATTGCTGAGCAGAGTTGGATTTGTTCTGTGTTGGGGAGTGGTTGCCTCAGTTGCTTCTCAAATCACCTCTCATTTATTTTAGTGTGGCTCTTACATCACTTTCCATCTACTGTCTCATGTTTCTTAGGCTTATCCTCCAAAAAGGTGCATTAAGTACTAAGTTTTTGTTTAGAGTTTTTTTTCTGCCTTCTGTTTTGCTCAAACAGCAATCTCCTAATCTAGGGCAGTGTGGAGTTTGCTGCCTGCTCTGAGCCTCAGCTCTGTAGAGTTCTGATTCTGATAAATAGCTGGGTGTTGATGGAGTATAATAATAACAGCAGCCTCACAGCGGTCATGGCTTACTCCAACTGGTAAATATGTTCAAGGCTGCTGCTCTTCCCTTCCCCAGTTGTGTATTTGAGGCTGGTGTCACATGTCCCCTCCAGGCATCTCCTCTTCGGACCAGACAACCCTGATTTCACTTCACCCAGGTCTTTTCATTTCAGCCCTAAGGGCTCTGATCGCTTTTGTTGTTCTGTAGATTGTGCTCCACTGTCCTCAGGTGCTTACAGAGCTGACATCATGCTCCAGTTCAGTGTGAGGTGAAATCTCAGAGTTTAAAAACAATAAAAAAGCAGAGATGGAGGCAGGGCACAGTGCAGGTGGTAAGAGTGAGCCTGAGTGCCTTGAATATTCTGAAGTCCAGCATAACCTGTCTGTCTTGTCAGTATTGCCCTGTTGACTGTGATCACCTCACCAAGGTTGTGTTGGTAACTTGTACCTGAGTGGGTCTGATTCTGACAAACACCTCTGTGGTTTATAATTAATGTATCTAATTAATAAGGGAGGCTGCAGAGACAATGAGCTTCACTTGCATCTGAATGTGCTTCTGCAAACCGCCCTGGATTTCACCTCCTTTCACATGCCTTTTTGCCTTCCAGGAGCAGCTTTCATCTGTTGTAGTAAGAAACATTTCTATTTTCCTCCTTAAGAGCCACTTAAATCCACTTCTATCTCTTTGTATTTTGATTTTGAGGTGTTCAGGCCTTTCATTTGTGCTCTGCCCTGCATGTTCTTACCTGAGAGCTCTGGGTTGCCCAGTGTAGTACAAACTGCTGCTATTAAGTAAAATAAGTGCTTTTGCAGATATCTTAAAGAAGGAGACATTTATCACCAGCTGATTAAGTAGAATAGATGGTGCTTTTGTAGTCTTAACAAGCCGAAGGAGAAGGAGGGGAAGAAAAGGAAGGTGTGAGAGAAAGGATCCAGGTGGGGAGTGAAGAGGTAGGAATTAAAAGTGGTTTCTTATGTTTCTTGGTGTTTCCAAGACAAAGACTCACAGTTGATCAGAAAATATAAGTATGGTTTTGAAATGTTACAGCTGAGGGAATCTAAAGAGCAACTGCTCCTGAAAAGCCTGTTTCTGCTCTCTTTTACTCCTCCCCAATGCCAGATTTGGCATTTGCCTGACCCCCAGAGTGAATCAATCTGAGGAATTAAATTGTCAAGAAGTTATCAGGAAGAAGAAAGACCTCTTTACATTGGCTTAGCTGCCCAGCAGAATATGTAGTGGGACCAAGCAAACCCCAGAAATGCTGCATGGTGGGCAATGACACTACAGGGAGGGGAAAGCACTTCCCATGGGATTGACTGGAACAAGCTGCCCAGGGAGATTGTGGAATCTCCTTCCCTGCAAATATTCAAAACCCACTGGACACAGCCCTGAGTGCTCAGGGGGACCCTGCTTGAGCAGGGAGGTTGGATGAGATGATTTCCAACCTGAATCATTCCAAGATTCTGTGCCTGGAGCTGCAGCTGAGGCCCTCAGCTGATGGATGCAGCTGTGTTGAACAGCTCTTTATGAAGTGCCAAACAAGAGCACTCCTGTGAGTGGTTATAGTGGTTATAGTGATTAATCTGTGATTGCTCCCTAAGGCTGGAAATAAACCTTCCAGGTAGTGCTGGAACTAGAGAACCTGTGTAATTAAGTTATGTCTGCAGAATGGTGGGCATGCTCCCACAATGAATGGGCAGGTGCTGCTGCTCCAAGTGTTTCAGCAGTTTCCAGGATTCACAGAGATAGGGCTGGGCTGCCTCTGAAGAGCTGAAACAATAAATGGTAGAAACATTCTCCTTACAACCTGATGACAGTGAAGTGTGAACCCTGTTTAGGTGACATGAACCACTTTTGGGAGCAGTGGGCAGTTGTCATTATTAGTGACTGTGTCTTAATTTAAGCAGGGCCATCCTGTAATATAAGACAGTTGGAGAAAACCCAGGAGTGTCTGACACATGCATTCTTAATTCTCTCTTTGCATTATAAAACATGCAGAGCAAGAGTTACATCCTTTTGTATAACACTAAGCATCTTTAGGTGTTTAGTCTTCTCTTGATGAGGGTATCCAAAGCTGCCTTAGGCATGTTCGGATTAGAAGGGAAGGAAATAAAGCCAGTGCTTCTGAAATCTTAATATAGGATTTGAAAGATGTGGAGTTTAGCATTATTGCCTTTTATTTTTCCAGTGTATTTGAATCCCAGAGTCCCCTGCAGCAAGAGAGAACTTTCAGGAAAATCTCAGCAGCTGTTCTTGCCTCGGGCTGAGGAGTGGATCAGAGTAGAGGTAGGAATTTGAAACCCCGCAGCTCTGAGCTGACCTCACCTTCCAACCTGTGGCACCTTGGAGCTGTAGCTCCAGTGGGTGATGCCTTGGTCTATGGAAAATGGGGGTCAGGAGCTAAATGTTGTGCTTTGCTTTGGTTCCTGAGGGCGGGATGTCGGAGCTGAGTGACGAAGCCAGCGAGTCAGAGCTGCTGAGCCGCAGCCTCTCCATGTGGCACGGGGTCGGGATGATCTGTCGGGAAGAGCTGGATGTCCCTCTGGACTTGCACACGGCCTCCTCCGTTGGGCAGTATGAAGTGGTGCAGGAGTGTATTCAGCGGTGAGAGGGGCTGGGGTGGGCACAGCTCTGGGGTTACCTCTGCCAGGGGTGGTTCTCACTGGCTGCCGCACTGGTCAGTGCAGCAGGGACACGTCCCTGGAACTCCCAAAGGCTTCTGGGGCACAGAGTTTCAGGGGCAAGTCTGCTGATAAAAATGACTTCCTTAGTGATTTAGCAGAAGGTGTCCCTGCCTATGGCAGGGGGGTGG